CATTTAGTTAGGAGATTGGGATTTCCTTTGCCCCCACATCTCCCTACTTTCAGAAGAGCTTTGGAAGAAAATCCAAAGAATACTGACAGGGAGGGCTCCTAGGAAGGAAATTGCCTTCCACCTTCTTCTGTCTTGTCTTCGTGCACTAGGCTGTTCTTGCATTGCTCTAAACAAATACCTAAGACTGTATCATTTATAAAGTAAAGAGGTTTCACTGGCTTATGGTTCTGCAGGTTGTACAGGAAGCATTTCGGCTTCTAGCGAGGCCTAAGGAAGCCTACAACTATGGCAGAAGGCGAAAGGGGAGCAGGCACTTTACATGGCGAAAGCTGGAGCAAAGAGTAGGGCAGTGCCACCTACTTTTCAAAGACAAGATCTCGCAAGATTTCAGTCACTGCCACAAAGACAGCACCCAAGGCCTGAGGGATGCACCCACCATCCAGACCCCTCCCACCAGGCCCCGTCTCCGGCACTGGGGATTACAGTTCGACATGAGATTTGGGTGGGGACAGATATTCACACCATGTCGCTTGACTGTATCAGTTTAGGAAAGTGTTATGACTTGCTTTACACTCAGTCGCCTCTGTTTGCCATTGTGCATGAATAATTCGCTTGGGTGTGTTAGTGCCTGATTCTGCTGACTCATTCGTTCTTCTCCTCGGGGAATGACATGATGAAAAGACATCTCTGCTTTTGCTCTGAGATTTTGTTCTTGTCTGGTTCCTATACAGCGACTGCTTCCTCTACCTCCTCTTCAGCTAGCATCTGCCACAGGGAACTCTGTGGCTCAAGCAGCAGCAGTTGAAAGATGCTCTCACTGCCCACTTCCTGTAGACAAGGAGGTTTTGGTGGGCTGCTCAGGAACTGTGCCAGCGTTGTGTCTGACTGGTAACTGACTCATGAGAAAAGCAGCCTTATGTCGGAAAGATAAGGGCCAACAAATTGCCTCCAGGTGGTGTTAGTTTGGAGGTGACTGACCATTCATTTCCTTTCTTTGGGAGGAGACAGTGGGGAGGGAATTGGTGAATAAGTGGTCTTGCCTGCATTTTTCTCCAGCTCTTAGTGAAGCATCTAGGCAGATAGTTGGTTCTCTGTGCTAGAATGGCTCATGGACCCCAGTGCCCTCAGAATCCCTTCTGCTGCTGTCAGAGCATTAGACTTATGTGTCATCCATTCTGCGTCTTCTCTTCATTACTCTTCTTATGCTCCTGCCAGGAAGCTGGCTGTGTGCACCAGGCGAAGTATGATAGTTCCATCGCTGCCAGATTTTTCTGTGACCAACCGAACTCCATCCCACTGGTACTGGTTTCCTTCAAATTTCTCCCTGACGAAAACACTAGAATTGATCAGAAGCAGTGGTTCTGAGCCACCATCCCTTGGCTTGGCTTAGAGGGCCCAGGCAGGTGGGCCTGCCTCCCATCCCCTGCTCTTCCCTCTCCACCCCTCCTGCCTCGCTCCCATTTCCTGCAGGAGGATGCCTTGCCATCCTGGAGCTGTCAGGCACAGCTTTGCTTTGGCAGCACCGTTGCACACATAGTGGTGGGAGAGGGGACATGTTTATCACTTTTCCTGGAGATTATCTGTTTAAGCACTTCTCTGACAGTTACAATAACAAGGGCAGTGTGTTGTGTTTCCCAGCAGAAGGACACTTGCTGTTGAAAGATGTATAGCACTAATTAGAAATACATAACATCCGGCCACATGGCAGCCTTCTCCCGGCCGCTCCATTTCCTGATTTCATGCAACTTTGACGACAGTTGGTTTATGTTTTCCATGAATATATTCTCAGAAAAATGAGAAAGTCTCCCCATTACATAGGAGCAAGAAGAATATTTCTGTCCGAGCAGGTATTTGGCCATAGGAATAATAGGAGCTGTGGTCACCTGCCCACATGTGGGAAGGGGCGGAACCAAGTTCAGACCTCAGGTGACTTTCTTAGTAAGAAATATTTCTGTCTGACTTCCTTAGCCAAAACCCTTAGCCGAAACCCTTGAGCAAGTCTCTGCTTTTGGAAAGAAGGGGAAAGGCTGTTTCACAGTGTTAATGAGTTCCTCAGCTCCTGTCATGCTCCTGCTACCTGACACAAAGCCAGAGGAACCCAGGCGAATACCAAGGCAAACAATGCCTTTTCCTCCCCCACCCCACATCACTTGTTGGCTTGGCCCAGCCCAACCCTAGGGATATATATGGGCATTCATCAGACTAGGGCCAGTTTCCTAGGTCTAGCCCCAAAGTGGGTGGACTCTGGGAATCTAGATGCTGTTTTCCTACCCACTGTGTAACGGTGAATGCTTTCAGGGAGTGGTGTCTTGTGGTTTCTAGCCTGTGGAAGCCTGCGTGAGGCCGAGAGCAGCCCAGGAAGATGCTATGCACTTAGTGAATGTCTCACTTGAGGCGCTGGATCCAGGTTGCCGTGGTTACTTGGATAAATAACAGTTTTCTTTACCCTATTGAAAGATTGCAGAGAGCATGTTTTATTTGTAGCCGTGTGCTCCATCACACCTAGCACACAGTCTGGCACATTCTACACGCTCACTATATGCTTGAGGTACCACTGAGCCATGGAGCAGGGCAGGCCTTCCAGGAGGTGCTCCAGGTAACATGGCCAGTCAGAGGTCTGACCCCCTCGATTGTTTGTGAAATCTCCGCCTGCTTGATTACGGCAGAACAGTTACTGGTTAACACGCCGCATCAGATGGACCAGACACATAAGCACGCAGTGTTATTTCAAGCCTTTCTTTAGGAGGGGATTAGGGGATGGGGAGTCGAGGTGACATAACCATCACAAAGGACAGAGCAGTCATGAAGCTGCCTTCTAGCTGCTGCTTGGGAGGTGGCTGAGCACTTTCAGATCTACACCAAAGAGACTCCAGCTGTTGCTACCTTGCCTGGTCTCCAGACCTTATTGCAGGAGCCTTTAGAAAAGGAGCCAACCTGGAGCCCACAAAGACCACAGGTCCCATTGTTCTTAAGCAGTCCATTCTCCCCTCTGAGCCCTAGCCCCCCATCTTGAACTCTGAGAGACAGTCTAGCCTGAGATTGCCATTTGTCATAAATATAGAACTAGGCTCGCTGAAAGAAACCTCCCCTGTCTTGTCTCTGTCCAAGCTCGAGAGTGTCTTATTGTAGTGTGTGCTTCACAAAATGCCAGTCTCTTGGAGCCAGGACACCCCACTTCATCCCTTCTAGCCTTCTGAGTGCAAGTAACTTCTGCTCAGTTGATGAGGGGGCACTAATGTTTATTCAGTGTCGGTTGCCAGGATGTGGCCTCCACTTGTTCTCTCCCAGCTCCCTCTGTTCTGGACTTCTCCCTTCTTCCCAGCTCTGTTGCTAGTTAGAGGCAGGATGTTGTCTGGGCGTGGCAATGGCCTGGACTGAGCTGGGCGGTACTGACAGTGCTGCTGCCTGTGGGGAGGGTGAAGGGGAGAAGTTGCTAACTTTTCTTGACAACTTACATATCTTCCCCTTTCCTGCTTTCCATCCTCCCTCTTCTTGGCTCTTGGATACTTGTTTTCTTTCTAACAGAGGTTTAGGGCCTTAACAGGACAGGAATGATGAGACTGGTCTATTCTGCTCACATGGATTGTTACCACTTCCTTAACTGCCTGCCACAGTTGAGTTGGAAAGTCAGAGGGTGACATCTGGGACCAGTGGGCATCTGCAAGGATGGTGGGAAAGCCACAATCAAAGAATGAGTACCCTGATGCTATTCGTTTGTTTGGCCCTTCTGAGCAGCAGCCTGTTCCTTCTTATGCCCAGTACTTTCAGAAGTGATTTGGGGCTGGCTTTGTGTACTCCAGTCATACTTGCTCCTGGGGCAAAGATGGTAAGGAATCACTGTGGTTGGGTAATGTCTCTTGGAGTAACAGCTTCAGTGAGGCCCCATTGACAAGACTGGTGAGCTGATGAGAGGGCTCCCCTTGGCTATTGAGGTTAAAATACAGGCAGGGACAGAGATCAGACATTTAGCTGATTATCCTTTTAACACTTGGAGATTCTGAGAGTTCTCCTGTAATAGAGAGGGAATTAACAGATTAGCTGCTGCCAGAGCTAGTGAGCCTGGCCCCTGATTCTGTCTCCTGTGGGTATGTGGAGTCTCCTCAGAGGCTGTGTGGTCGACTGCTGCCTTCTGTGTGTCACCAGCTCCTCTCGAGTTCAGATGACGTGGCTTTCGGAGAAGGCCACTGATGAAGAGTAGGTACAGGCAGGCTTTTGGGAGTATGTCACATAGCTGCCACCAAAGAGTAATTCTGCCCACCAACAAGATGGCTCCTTTCAGTGACCTGGAGCCAGAAGGAAGTTAGTTAGCCAGGCTGAAAAAGTAACGGAAAGAGGGTACTGGGATTGGGAGCCAGATTTATTTTTTAGTGCTAGGGGAAGGAATTTGTGAAAACAAAAGCCAACACTGATTAAGTGCTTATTATGTGCCAAGCACTGTTCTGCATAAAATTAACTCATTCCATGAAAGTAGATTATTTGTGTCATGTGTGTTTTCTTAGGAGGAGGGACATGGAGAAGGTAAGGATGGGACTAAAGTTTGGTGATTCAAGAAGGTCATTTTTAAATGTGTATTTTTCCAATCTTAATTGATGACTATGCTCCTGTTAGTTATACACTAGAGAGACTGAGTTACTTAAATCTGAGTTCTTATTACGATAGCTTTACATTATCAGTAGGCAGCTAAAGGCAGAGACCATGCAGCTCCAGCTCAGACTGCCCTTCTTGAGGTAACTGTTCCTGGGAAAGTGATGTAGAATTGACATAGGTGACCCTTATCATCTTATTGAACACATACCCATATGCCAGACCTCGTGGTAAGTGCTTCACGTGAGTCTGTACTTGGCCTTATGACCACTCTGAGAGGGGGAATATTACTAGCCCTAGTCTTCAGTGAGGAAAAGGAAGGTCGGTAACATGGCCAGTGATGTGCATCTTGTAACGCAGGGAAAAGTAGCCCTTGTCCCCCTGGGGTGCTGAGAGTTTCATTTGCTTCTCCTCAGACTGCTTCTCAGAGGAGTGCCGCTCTGTGATCCAGGAACAGGCTGCAGCTCTGGGCTTGGCCATGTTTTCTCTGCTGGTCCGGCGCTGCACCTGCTTACTTAAGGAGTCCGCCAAAGGTAAGCAGGAGCCCCCGGCCTGGTGGGCTTTCCAGTTGCCTGACCTTGTCAGACCTCACAGTGCCCTGCTGCTTTCTCGGTGTCTTCTCCCTGTAGTCTCCATTCTTCCTTTTACCTACATGCCCCTCTTCCTTTTGCCTGCCTAACTAGTCGCATTTCCTTTTACAGTCTAATTGCCTCTAAGGCCTTCTTCTCCTTTTTGTAGACTCTTTCCTCCCTTTTTTCTTCTTTAGTAGTTAGAATTTTCACTGTACCTATAAGCTGCTGCATGTTCCTGCATCCTCAGGAAACCAGAAAAGTTAGTTTCCATAATCGATGTTGTGTTTTCCCCTTTATCTTTGTGTGGTACCTGGTGAGTTCTGTAACCACCGTGGACCGGCCGTCATGGGAGACTCACTTGACCAGATAGAGCAGGTGCTATTCTTAGCCCTTAGGTTGAGACAGTATCCCATATCCTTTAAGGCTGCCCTTAGAAGTCTAAGCCTGATTGCCATAGCAGTAGAAGATAGGGCTGAAGGTTACACCTTTCTTTTCAGCTCCCAGATCAATATTAGTGACTTAATCAGACCCCACTGTCACCCCATGCCACACTAGCCTTGTGAATGCCTCCAGCTTCAGAGGCTGCTTTTTTTTTTAGTGACAGAAGGGCAACTTTTCATTTTGAAATAAGTTCAGATTTACAGAACAGTAGCAAGAATAGTGCAGACAACTCATATACCCACCACCCAGATTCCCCAGTTAACATTTTACCATGTGGCCTTACGTTCGTCTTCCCATACACACATACTTAAGGTTATTATTTTTCTTCTGAACCATTTGACTTTAAATTAGAGTTGCTGGCGCTTTACCCCCCAAATACTTGACTCTATATTCCTAATAATAAGGATATTCTCTTAATGACAATTATCAAAATCGGAAGTCAACATTGATAAAATACTATTATTGCATTCACAGACCTTATTTAGTTTGTGCCAGTTGCCCTAATTTCTTTACAGCAAGGGGAAAAGAAAGTTGTTGTCTTCTCTGGGATCCAGTGCAGGAGCACACATTGCATTTAGATGTCATCCTGTCTCTTTGGTTGTCCTTTAATTTGGGATGGTTTTTCGATCTTCTTTTGTCCTACATGTCCTGGCCTTTTTTTTTTTTTTGAGACAGAGTCTCTCTCTGTCGCCCAGGCTGGGGTGCAGTGGCGTGATCTCGGCTTACTGCAAGCTCCGCCTCCCGGGTTCACACCATTCTCCTGCCTCAGCCTCCTGAGTAGCTGGGACTACAGGTGCCCGCCACCGCGCCCAGCTAATTTTTTGTATTTTTAGTAGAGACGGGGTTTCACGGTGTTAGCCAGGATGGTCTCAATCTCCTGACCTCGTGATCCGCCTGCCTCGGCCTCCCAAAGTGCTGGGATTACAGGCGTGAGCCACCGCACTTGGCCTGCCTTGTCATTTTTGAAGAATGTAAATCATTTGTACAGTGTCCCACAGTTTGGGTTTGTCTGATGTTTCCTTGTGATTAAATTCAGGTCATGCAGTTTTGGCAAGAACTCTGGTGCCATCTTGGTACTGTGCTGAAGGAAGGCTGGCAGGGTGGGCTAGAGGCCAGAGGAGAGGCTTCAGCCAAGCCACAGGTGAAGCAGAAGCAGTGGTGTCCAGGGGCAGACCCAGTACACTGGTTCTCTGTTTGTCCTACTTTTCAGAATCCTCTTAGGTGCTGGCGCTTCTCCTCGCTTCCGGGCCCATCTTTCCTGTGGACTTGGTCTCCCTTCCCTAAGAGCTTGCTGCCGTCCCAGCGCCCCAGGCCTCACTCGGGGGCTACAGCAGACATAGGCCCAGTTCTCACCCTTTGCCTCTGCAGCTCAGCTGTCCTCTCCTGAGGACCAGGAGGACCAAGATGACATCAAGGTGTCTTCCTTTGTCCCGGACCTGAAGGAGCTGCTCCCTAGTGTCAAAGTCTGGTCAGATTGGATGCTTGGCTACCCAGACACCTGGAATCCTCCTCCCACATCCCTGGATCTGCCTTCGCAGTGAGTTGACCTGCCCATTGCTTTAGCACCACTGGCCTGGGCCTGCCCGTGTCCCCGCATCTCCCCTCTTCATCCTGCTCTGTTTCTTTCTGCCCACAGCTTGCTTGCTTCTCTGTTTCTTCTTTACTTGAACTTTTTTTGAACACCTTCCCTGTCCTCTGATGTTTTCGATTATTTTTTCCTGTTCTCCAGGCTTCTTCCCTCTCCTCTCACACTCACTCTTTCCTCTCACTCTCCATTTTATTTGTTCTTGCTCTCCCTCCCTCATCCTCACTCCATATTGTGCATACTCACTATCTCTGCAGCTGCCTCTGGAGTCTGGATTTGTGTGGATATGTGTGAGACTTTGTTTCTTTCTCTTACTAGCTTTTCTGTGCATCTTGCCTTTTTTTTTTTGAGATAGGGTCTCACTTTGTCACCCAGACTGGATGCAGTGGCACGATCTCAGCTCACTGCAACCTCCACCTCCCAGCTCATGTGATCCTCCTGCTTCGGCCTCCTGAGTAGCTGGGACCACAGGTGCAAACCACCATGCCTGGCTCATTTTTTGTATATTTTGGTAGAGAAAAACATGTATTTTTTGCCATGTTGCCCAGGATGATCTTAAAATCTTGAGCTCAGGTGATCCACCTGCCTCGGCCTCCCAAAGTGCTGGGATGACAGGCATGACCCACCACACCCGGCCTTCTCTGCATCTTTAAGGCTCTGTCACTGCTACTTGTGCTGCCTTCTGCACTTTGTCTCCTGGCATAGCAGCATGTGGGGAGGCTGAGTGCAGGCACATTTCTCCTCCATTCACTCATGCCCTGTCTTCTCACCATGCCCCTGCCCTCGCCGCTGTCTTCTCACCATGCCCCTGCCCTCTCACCATGCCCCTGCCCTTGCCCCCTGTATTCTCACTGTGCCCCTCTCCGCGCTGTCTTCTCACCATGCCCCTGCCTCTCACCATGCCCTGCCCTTGCCTCCCTGTATTCTCACTGTGTCTCCTGCCATTGCCCCATCTTCAACCATGGCCCTGCCCTCGTCCCGCTTTCACCATGCCCTGCCTTCATCCCCTGTCTTCTCACCATGCCCTCCCCTCTCACCATGCCCCTGCCCTTGCCCCTGTATTCTCACTGTGCCCCTGCCATTGCCCCATCTTCTCACCATGGCCCTGCCTCATCCCTGCCTTCTCATCACCTCATGCCCCTGCCCCTCGCCCCATCTTTCTCTACCATGCCTCCCCTGCCTCATCTCCTCCGTCTTCTACCATGCCCCTGCCCTCGCCTCCGTCTTCTCACCATGCCTCTGCTCCTCGCCTCCGCCTTCTCACCATGCCCCTGCCCCTCGCCTCCATGTGTTCCTCACCATGCCCCTGCCCCTCATCTCCGTCTTCTCACCATGCCCCTGCCCTCGTCTCCATGTTCTCACCATGCCCCTGCCTCGTCTGCCTTCTCACCATGCCCCTGCCCTCGTCTCCATCTTCTCACCATGCCCCTGCCCTCGCCCCCTGTTTTCTCACCATGCCCCTGCCCTCACCCCCTGTCTTTGTGTGTCACTGTGGCATCTCTCAGAGCATTTGTGTATGGGACAGAGCATTTGTGTATTGGGGGCGGGGGGCAGGTGTTGGAGTCTGTGTGTCTGCCTGGGTGTATTTACGTAGATCAGTTTATGTGTTTGTATGCCTTTTTCTTTTTTTTAGTTGTGGAGATAAATATATATAACATTTGCCATGTTAACCATTTCTAAGTTCAGTGACATAAATTACATTTACAGAGTGTTGTGCAACCCCATATGGTTACTTCTTTTATCTTTGTCTATATCTGTGTCTGGGTTGTGTCCGACTCTGTGCTTGGCTAGGTCCATTTGTCTGTGTGTCTGTAGGTCTGTGTGTGTCTTAGTGTCTGTGTCTGAGTGCAAAGTTCTGTGTGTCTGCCTCTGGAGGCCTATCTAGGGGTCTTTCGGTGTGCCTATCCATGTCTGTCTGTGTGTTTACTTGTCCGTGTGCATCCATCCAACTGTGGCCACGTGTGTTACCCGTATGTGTTCATGTGGGATGTCCATATCTGTGTCTGTATTTGTGTCTATACCTGTTTGTGTCTGTATATCCTTGAGTATATGTGTCTCTGTATGGGGTTCATGTGTCCCCATGGAGGTCTCTTTCTGTGTTTCCATGTCTCTGTGTCCACATCTATAGCTGTGTTTTTTTTTTTTTGAGATGGAGTCCCGCTCTGTCGCCCAGGCTGGAGTGCAGTGGCACAATCTTGGCTCACTGCGACCTCTGTTTCCTGGGTTCAAGCTATTCTCCTACCTCAGCCTCCCATGTCGCTGGGATTACAGGCATCTGCCACCACGCCTGGATAGTTTTTGTATTTTTAATAGAGACGGGGTTTCACCACATTGGCCAGGCTGGTCTCAAGCTCCTGACCTCGGCGATCCACTCACCTCAGCCTCCCAAAGTACTGGGATTATAGGCGTGAACCACCGTGCCCAGCCTTTTTTTTTTTTTGAGATGGAGTTTTGCTCTTGTTGCCCAGGCTGGAGTATAATGGCGTGACCTCAGCTTACTGCCACCTTGGCCTCCCATGTTTAAGCAATTCTCCTGCCTCAGCCTCCCAAGTAGCTGGGACTACAGGCATGTACCACCATACCCAGCTAATTTTGTGTTTTTAGTAGAGATAAGATTTGACCATGTTGGCCAGGCTGGTCTCAAACTCCTGACCTCAGGTGATCCACCCACCTTGGCCTCCCAAAGTGCTGGGATTGCAGGTGTGAGCCACCGCGTCTGGCCTTTTTTTTTTTTTTTTCCTTTCCCAGACAGAGTCTTGCTCTGTTGCCCAGGTTCGAGTGCAGTGGCATGATCTCAGCCCACTGCAACCTCCGCCTCCTGGGTTCAAGCAATTCTCCCACCTCAGCCTCCCGAGTAGCTGGGCTTATAGGTGTGAGCCACCAGGCCTGGCTAATTTTTTTGGGTTTAGTAGAGATGGGGTTTCACCATGTTGGTCAGGCTGGTCTCAAAACTCCTGCCCTCCAGTGATCCACCCGCCTCTGCCTCTAAAAGTGCTGGGATTACAGGCATGAGCCAGCATGTCCAACCTGTGTCTTTCTGATTCTGAGTCCATGTCAGTCTGAGTCTGCTTTGGTCCCATTCATGTCTGTGTCTGCGTCTGTGAGTATATGTTCCTGAATGTCTGTGTTCATGTCCGTGTTTGTGTGTAACTATGTCTCTGTGTGCCAGTCTGGATCTCTCTGTTAGAGGGGGGATTTCTGTGTATGTGGGTCTTCTTGTGTCTGCCTGCCTTGCCTTTTACCTACCTCCCTGTCTGTCTGTCTGTCCTCACCTGTCTCTGCCTGCCTGCCTCTGTGTTTCTCCTTGCCTCTGCTTTTGTCTGCCTCTGCTGTGTTTGTGTGTGTGTGTGTGTGTGTGTGTGTGCGCGCGCGCCTGTATCAGGGATCAGCATACCATGGCCCACAAGCTAATAATGGTTTACATTTTTATATGGTTAAACAAAAAATCAAACGAGTACCATTTCATGACTCATGAAAATTGTGTAAAAGTCAGATTTTAGTGTCCATAAAGTTGACTGGAATATAACCATGCTTATTTGTTTACACTGTGTCTATGGCTGATTTCACATTACAGAGCAGAGTTGAGTAGTTGCCACAGGCTGTGTGGTTCACACGGCCTAGAATATTTGCAATCCAGCTCATTACAGAAAAAGCTTGCTGACTTCAATCTCTGTCCATGTTCCATGTGTCACATTCTTCTTTGTGTTAGTGTCACTATGTGTGTTCATGTTTGTACAATTGTATCTTCATGTACGTGTGTGTAGGCTCCATCTCTGTTCAGCCCTGTTGACTGTTCATCTCTCCCTCCTGCTCACTTTAATTTTTCCCTCCCTCCCTCCCTTCTTTCTTCTTTCTTTGTTTTTCCTTCTTCCCTCCCTTCCTGCCTTTCTACCTTCCTTTCCCAGGGTGTCGCTGTGTCACCCAGGCTGGAGTGCATTGGCACAATCACAGCTCGCTGCAGCCTCGACCTCCTGGGCTCAGGTGATTCTCCCACCTCAGTCTGTCAAGTAGCTGGGACTACAGGCGTGCACCACCACACCTGGCTAATTTTTTTGTATTTTTAAAATAGAAACGGGGCTTTGCCATGTTGCCCAAGCTGGCCTTGATCTCCTGGACTAAAGCAGTCTGCCTCAGCCTGCCACAGTGCTGGGCCTCTCTTTCTTATCTCTACTCTTCCTTGGTGTCTCTGTTTTTCTCCGTTTCACCCCGGCCATTTCTCGTTTCCCTCTTCCTTTTCTTCCCCTACCCCGCATTCTCTGAGTGTGGTCTTCAGCTGGTGCTTTGTACCAAAGCTCCTTCATGCTCTGTGTTATGCATTTATGTGTGTTTCAGAACAAGCATCTCCAGTGTTCTTCTCTGGAGACGAGTAATGCTGGAGGATAGATTATGGAGACCCTGGCTACTGTGGAGGGCACTTTTGGGGAGTAGGGAGGGGAGCTTGTCTGACCTGGGGACCAGCTATGTGAGTCTCCTAGACTCATGGGTGACCTCCAGAGGGAAGGTAAAGCAGAGATTTCTGGCCAGCAGTTTCTGTGTAGACTGTGTAGTCTGATTCTTCCTCCTTTCTTTCTCAGTTTTTTCCCTGTCCTTGCCTCAGGATGCACCTCTGGACTGTTACTAATCTCAGTCTCCACATGCCCTTCCCACCTCTAGCTCTGTCACTGTGTGGTCGGCACTCACAGCATCGGACAGTTCTCTGTATCCTATCTGTGGGCCCTCCTAGGTTTCCAAAATGCTGTGCAGCTGGGGCCACAGAAAGGAACTGATGGATCTGCTGGCTAGGGGACAGCTGTTTCTCAGCAGTGATCCCCAAAGAGTTAACATCTACAGCCTCAAACTTTTCAGGCTATTCATCTCTAATGAGGACTAGGCAGTTGGCAGTTTTGGGAAGAAAATGCCAAGAAAGGACTCAGTTCTCCAAGTATCTAAGCCACTGCTTCTGAGCATGCACA